AGTAAGTTCCCTGAATCCCTTCCCCACTCCACATTGGAATATTGAAAACAGGTGTACATATCCTGGCACATTCTGGGGATTCTCTTTAGGAAAATTGGCCCGAGAGAAAAAGCCTACAGACACTGACATTTAGGGGGGTTCTTGATGAAAAGGTCAGCTTGACACCAAGTCCACTAGGCACAAGCCCTGGTCATATAATCAGAGATTCAGTCTTAAAGATCAATAGACAACCAAGGGTCGCTGGGTAATGGGAAAGAGGCATTGCTATGAAAACGGAAACCAAAATAAGCAAATAAGAAAAAAGAGAAAAACATAACTCAGAGATGATGCAGAAGGCAGAATCTTTTTTTGTCTCTTTGAGATAATATTCTCAGAGATAAGAAAACTGCTGTAGCCTTTGAAACAAGAATAGGACGCTATAAAAAAGGAACATTCACAGAATAAAAAACAGCTCTTGAAAATTAAAAATATGATAGCAACCTATTTGCATCCTTGCTAAAAATATTTAACCTGAATCTCACCATGATCTTACTTCCAGTCTCCAGTGAATGCAGGGAGTGGAGGGATGAATTAAATGACATCACAAGGAAATAATCAGACAAATCCAGAATGTAGGACATTCTGTAAGACAACTTGCCTAGACTCTTAAATTGTCAATGTTGTAAGAGAAACAATCATGGTTTTTAAAAAGACTAAGGAGATCCAACAGCCAAATAAAACTAGACAGGATCTCAGTTCAAAGAGACCAGCTATAAAAGAAAATGTGGACAAAATTGGGGAAATTGGGATCTGGACAAGATATTAAAGATACTATGGGATTATTGTTAATTTTGTTAGGGGTGTTAATAGTGGTGGGATTGTGTAGCAGAACATTTTTAATTTTAGGATCTGCAGGCTAAGATATTTAAAAATCTAGTGTAGGGGCACCTGGGTGGCTCAGTTGGTTGAGCGTCCTGCTCTTGGTTTTGGCTCAGGTCATGATCTTGAGGGGGTGGGATGGAGCTCTGAGTTGGGCTCTGTGCTCAGCAGGGAGTCTGCTTGAAATTCACCCCCTCTCCCTCTGCCCCTCTCCCCATCCCCCACTCACTCCCTCTCTCTCAAATCTTTTAAAAAATAAAAAAATCAAGTGTAATATGACCTGCAAATTCCTTTCAAATGGCTCTACCAGAATAGTTCATAGATAGATACACAATAACAACATTCAATCTAGTCCTGTGCTGCCTAATACAGTAACTACTAGTCACGTGTGGCTACTAAGCACTTGACATCATCTGAATTGAGATATGCTGTGATCATAAAGTACACACTGGATTTCAAAGACTTAGTACAAAAAAAGGAATGTAAATTTATCTTAATAATTGTTTTACTAATTATTTATTAAAATATATTTTGAAATAAAATATTAAATTTAATTTCATGTTTCTTTTTACCTTTTTAATGTGGCTACTAGAAGGTTTTTTTTTAAATATTTTATTTATTTGAGAGAGAGAAAGCATGCGTGAGAGAGAGCGTGAGCAAGAGAGAGGGGAAGAGGGAGAAGTAGACTCCCCACTGAGCAGGGAGCTTGATGCGGGACTCAGTCCTAAAACCCTGGGATCATGACCTGAGCTGAAGGCAAATGCTTAATCTAGGCCACCCAGGTGCCCACTACTAGAAGGTTTAAAATTACCTATGTGGCTCACATTATATTTCTATCAAACAACACTGACCTAAATGTCAGGAAAAGAATGTTAACTATATTATTTTTTTCAACTTTTCTGCATATTTGCAATTGTCTTAATAAAAAGTTAGAAAAAGAAAAAAATAATAAAGTAGAAGACTTTCTTTTTAATCAATAAGAGTATTGACAATAAAGTTTGGAAAATCCTCTTGTAAGTAGGATAAGGGGACACCTGGGTGTTTCAGTCAGTTAAGCGTCTGCCTTCGGCTCAGGTCATGATCCCAGGGTCCTGGGATCGAGTCCCACACTGGGCTTCTTGCTCAGCAGGGAGCCTGCTTCTCCCTCTGCCTTCCGCTCCCCCTGCTTGTGCTCTCTCTCTCTCTGACAAATAAATAAATAAAATCTTTAAAAAAAAGGTAAGATAAGAAGACAAAAAGTAAAAAATAGAGAATCAGAGAACCAACCCCAGAGTCCTAAATGAAAATATATAGAACATAATAAGCACAGAAAGGAGCCGAACAGCATGAGCTTCTAGATTGAAGGGAAGCCTGAGGGCTAAGCAGTGAACTCAAGAATATACAGACCAGTGCACGGGTAGTTAAAGAGACCATAAAAAGTTCCCAGGGTGAAAAGACAGCAAAAATACAGGTCACATACAAAGGCCCAGGACGATTTCACTGAACTTCTCTGCAACCACACAGGAAGCTAGAAAACAAAGGGGAAAAGCTTTCGAAATTCTGAAGGAAACAATTTCCAACCTAGGGTTAGATACCCAGCCCAGCTATCAATCAAGATGCAGGTAGATTAAAGATCTTTTTAGACATACAAGATCTCAAACATTGTACCTCCCTTGCACCATTTCTTAGAAAGCTAAGGTAGTGCTCCATCAGACAAGGAAGTAAACAAAGAAAGACGGAAGACATTGGATACAGAAAACAGGGGCTTCAATGCAGGAAGGAGGCAAAAGGAATCCCCAGTGAGTAGTGAAATGACACTTGAGCCTGCTAGCTCTATAGCAGTGGGAAGATGTTTGGTTCTGAAAGAAATTCACCAAGAAATAAACAAATGCGACTGATGGATAGTCCTGGGAGGAGTTTTGCAATTGTAGCAGGCCTTGGGAATTAATCAGGGACAGGAACATACAAAATTAAACAAACAAAACACATGGAAAACAAAATGAATGCAAGAAAGGGTACCCAAGTACATTAGGTAGTATTTCATAGTAACATGAACACAGAATTGGGATCTAACCATAAATTGAAATCTAACTATAGTAGAAGGGCTGGGGAAGAAGTTTGTGTGTTGGAGGTCATGCAGAGCTAATCCCCATCTTTTCTAGTAGGGAGATGATCATTGCTAAAGTAGGATAACAAAAATAATAATGGGGTACAAAAATAGCTGTATGTTATTTGGAGAAGTGGAAGAAAAATAAGAAATGGTTGAAAAGTCTAAAAGAAGTTGCCTCTGGGGACTGGGGATGGGGAAGGGTGAGGCAGGCAATTGCCGTTTTCCGCTACCGTCTGTGTAGTATTTTTTTTTTTTTTTTTTACTTTTTGGAAGTATTTATATATATATAAATATATATATAATATATATATATATATATAAATATATATATAATATATATATATATATATATATATCTCATTTTGCTAAAAATAAAAATTGAATTAAAAGATAGAAAGAAAACCCAGGTCATCCAGGGCAGGGTAAGTGAATGCCCAGAACTGAGGGTCATTCCAGGTGTCACTGCCTGGCAGTTGCCTACGTCAGCAACTCCGGACATGGCTGGGGGAGCTTTTTTGGAGAAACATTATCCTGCCTACCCCCATGACTCATAGGTTCCCATTGTTTCCACCCCCCTGCCATTCTCCCACCATGGTGATGTGTGCACTGATGTGGGGAGCAGGGACAGAAGAATCTTTCTTGTGCTCTTTGTTTACTGCATGCCCCACTCCCATCCCCAGGGATATAGGCTTCCTTGCCAGGGACCAGGGGTTAGTCAGGGGGCACTGGGTGCCAAGGAGAAAAAACAATCTTAAAATACCCCTATGCCTTCCCATTGTGGAAATTCAGAATCATGTGTTTGAGTAGGACCTATGAGGTCAACTGCCAGTATCTCCAAGGAGTGGCCACCAACCCTTGGCCTGAGTATGCTGAATGACAGGGAACTCAGTGTCTTAGAGGGATAATGTGGAGGTTTGGGGGCAAAGGGACGGGCACATAGGGGTCTTTAGTGCTTACAGGCTTTTGTTGGGGCTGTTCAAAGCCTATTATATTGATCAAGGCCCATTAGTTATAAAAGGTGAGGTTCCACGGATTGATGCAGCTCTCAAGGGAAGCAAAGCCCGTCGAGTTCCTTATCTCTGCCTTTCTTACTATGTGTCTTCTCTATCCTTCTGCTTCTCTCTGCACACCTTCATCCTCTGATTCACACATGACCACAGAGGTTGGCCACCACTCCCAAGCCTCCATGACCTCACAGCTCTGCTCCCTACAGCTCACTGTCCCCGTCTCTCAACATCTTAGCTTCGAATGCCTAGCCAGGTCATCCCACTGGTGCATCTCAGTTCCAGTTTCCTCTCCCAGTCCAATCAGCGTTGCCAAGGCGGGGGGGTGTCACATGGTTCACAGCTATAAGCAATGGTCTGAGGGGCCCCAGGGGATACAAGTGACTCTTTATGAGGTATGATCTCCCTGAAACCCAGACATGCTTGCTCGTTTCCAAGGTAGGCAAAACCTCACTGTCCCTCCCACCCCACTTAGGGCCAGTGGCCAGTCCAGAAGGAGCTCAGTGCAATGATGTGGACATGTGACACATCTGGCCATGTTGAACATCTGGCTCTCCAAGGAGGGGAGAGCCCGAATTTGTAGTGTCTGTCCATTTGCATGGTGTCAATGCTCCTGTTACGGCCGATTTTAAGCTACCAACACGATGTCACAAAACGTGAAGTTGGGGAGAGAAACACAGTAGCTAACCATTATATAATAGTCCCTCCACATACCTCCAGTAGATGCAAATATCCTCAAAAGCCTGTGTCACAGTGACATGCAATTAGGAAATGAGGAGTTTTGCAGTTATTACATTGGTTCTTAATATAATTTGTGTGTTTATATAGTTTAACTTCTAATACAATCAGCTTATAAAATGTCTGAAACTGGAACCATTGGCTCTCCTGAGCCAGTATGAACAGGCTCCAGAGCACTGAGTCAGAACCTTTCCCCTGGAGTGAACTATTGAGGGTGGGAATCTGAGCGGATCGAGAGACAGAGAGGGGGCCTGACTGCCTGGCAGGTCAGTATCTGTTCCTCATTTTCCTTCCTCCTTCACCAACATCAGCTGTTCCAGGTAACCTAAGAGAGACAACAAATAGAGGTGATTTGAATTGAATGGAGTGTGATGTCAGCAACCCAAACAGAGCTGCTCAGCCGGCCAGCACTGCAGGTGAAGGAGTCAAAGAATGACAAGGAAGTTTCACAGAACTCAGGTAAACATGGATTTCAGTGCAGAATGAAAACACGGGCAGGGATGGATTGCCAGGGGTTGCCAAAAACACCGAGGGACCTGACCGCTGAGGTCTCCAGCCAGGTGTTCCCAGAATCTGGGATTTCCAAGGTTTTACCCCAGACCTTCTGATTCAGAATCTCCCAAGGCGGAGCCCAGGAATCCCCTGGTGATTTTTGGGTGTAGTCACCGCAAGGGCTGGGATCTACTGATTGGGTCACTTCACTGGTCTTACAGGTGACGACTGGCTGGGCAATGCACCCAGGACACCTTCCCTGGTCACCTCTCCCTTGAGCAGGAGAGAGCCTTATTATGGCAGCCTCATGTGGGAGTTAGTAGCCCAGGCTGGGGCTTCTCAGCTTAGAATTGAGGGGAGGCTTCTAGCTGTGTGACTTTGGGCAAGTTACATAACTGCTCTGAGCCTCCGCTTCCAAATGCAGCTAATGTTGTGGGGATTAAATGAGACCATGGGCCTGAAGTGTCCCCGTCAGGGCCCGTGTGTGGTAAGGATCCTAAAAATGGCAGATGTGGCTATGTAGGTCACGCTGCCTACATGGTAACAGCCCCCAGGCCTCCTAGGACTGTTGAAACCTAGCAGAGAGGGGATAAACATAGTTAGAGACCCCATATAGAAGGGGCTTTGATATCTTGAAAGTAAAAAACTTTGATCTTAGGTGAGGAATTACAAAACCTGCCGACATTTGGTCTCAGCTGTGCCACTTCTTCAAAGAGTTTTGGATTCAGGGAAGAAGATGTTATTTGTGTCCCATGTCCCCGTCCCTCCGCCCGCTCTGGGTGTCAGCCCCGCTGCACTGGACACCCCCACGCATGCTGCCCAAGAGCTTCCCCAGTGTGCATTGGGGCCTCTCTGCTTCTCTACCTCAGAGCTCTCTCTAAAGCCTGGCAGAAAGTTGCTTAGCTCAGGGCAAGCCCATCCCATGTTCTCATTATCTGCCGCTGTGTCACAAACCACCCCAAAAACTGACAGGCTCAAAACAATACCAATCATTTATTTGCTCACGATTCTGCAGTCTGCCGGACTCTCTTCCACGTGATCTCAAGCTGGGGGTCGGATGTCCAAGATGGCGCCTTGGCTGGGCAGATTCTCTGTCCCTGGGCCTTCCCCACGTGCCTAGTTTGGTTCTTCGCAGCACGGGGCTCAAGGTACTTGGGTTCCTTACATTTCAGCTGGCTTCCCCAAGAGCACAAAAGTGGAAGCTGCCAGGCCTCTTAACAGGTAGGTTCAGAAAGCACAGAAGGTCATTTCCACAGTCCCAGCCACATGCCGAGGGAATACACTCCACATCTTACTGGGGGAGTGGTGAGGTCACTTTGCCAACAACTACGTGGGAGGGGAGACATTGTCCTGGCCATCTTCGGACAATGCCGTCTGCCACATCCAGCCTGTATGGGAGGAAGGTGGGGATTAACACCCCTGGAAGCATCCTCAATCAATGAAGGTGGCATTTGGTGGGTAAATGCAGGGCTCTTGTCCTTCAGAGGGACAGTTCCGAGGTGTACTGGCCAGGCTTTTCAGGCGATCCCAGCAGGACTGAACCCCAATTTCAACCTCTCAACAGTGCCCGCTGAATTGCCTTTTGCTTTCCCCATCTTTGTCTCCCCTCCCTTTCTGTACTTCCTCCAACCATCTCCCAGTTCTGCTCTTAGGCCTTGCTCTCCCGGGAAAACAAACCAAGACACTCAGTTTCCTCACTTGAAAAAGCCCCTTAAATGGAGCTGTAAAATATGGCACCTGCCTCCCAAGGCTGTTAAGTAATCCCGCAAGAACTGATGTGAACGAGCTTTGTAAACTGGGCGGCTGGCTAACAAGGTGAGGGGTCACTGTGAGTGGAGGTATTACTCCCTAGGGAAGTGCAGGGACTTGGGGGCTGCCGGGGTGGGAGGCCCAGTCCCCTGGGGTCATCCGTGAGCAGTGACTGGAGCTGCTGTGGGGGTGATGAGAGGTGAGGGGAGCTGCCAGAGAGGGTGTGGACAAATAAGGTGTCCCATGTCCCTGTCCTGCCTGCCAGACGGAGGTGACTTGGACAACTACGTGACTCACCAGGTCACCACAGCCTGGGACAAGGTCCTTCAAGATCATCCACCCGGCTCTGCTGAGACTCGCCCTTGTGGGATAAGATCTGCCTCCTGATTTGGCTTCTACCCCAGGAAGAGGGATGGAGTTACCCCTGGGAGGGTCCAGAACTCTGGTCCATTCACCTTCCTCTCAGGAACCACTGAAAAACTGAGCCCTTCTCTGTGCTGGGTCCTGTGGGAAGGAGCCGAAGGTGAACAAGCCACCCGCCGCCCTCTCTTCGGGCTGCCAGTCAGGGACCCGGGGTGTTAGACCAGGAGACATGCAACTCGAACCGCATGGAAGCAGCTGCTCGCTGAACTCTTCCCGGAGAAACTGATGCCCACCATCAATCCCACCAGGCCTTAGGATGCCACCAGGAGAGAGGACGGGCATATCCCGGAAACAGTGTGGGGCAAAGACCTGGGCGGCCTGGCTCACTGGAGAAAGTCTTCTGTGGCTCGAGGCCAGAAAGGGGTGGGGGTGGCCATTAGAGGAGGCTGGGGGGGTTGCCCAGAAGAGCAATGGGAGCTCAGAGGAGTTTAAAGCAGGACAGAAAGCGGGTCAGATTTGAGTTCAGGATTCTCCCTGCTGGGTGCAGCGATGGCCGGGTGGGAGAGGGTCTGTGTTAGAGGCAGGGAGACCAGCTAAGGGGCCTCATTCACTCATTCAGCAAACATCTGTAGAGCCCCTTTCAGGTGCCTGGCCCTGTGCTGGTGTGAGGCTCCAGTGGAGGGGCCGCGGGGGCCTGGAAGGAGGGAAGGGGCAGAGATTTTAGTTCTCACTGTGTTACACAAACACATTCTGGAGATTCTCATATTGGCTTCCTGAACCAGTTGTGTATGAATTTGGAAGTTGGGTACCTGTTGCTTCCAAACAGGGGTGAAGAGCTCTTATTTCGGGGCTGAGCTCCAACCTCAGGGGCCCCACAGAAGGACAGCCATTCCCAGAGACCCCACCCAGAGCAGCCCAGCCCAGCCTGCCTCCTCCTTTCCGTACTCTGCCCCAGGCTCAAGAAAGCTTCAGTGCCAGGGTGGCTGCGAGAAGCTTGACCAGCCTCTGCAAGCAGGGGGTGAAACTCTTAACTGGCATGGAGCCACAGGTCTCCTCGAGGACGACACCGGAGGTCGGAGGAAACCACCCTGGAAGGAGCCCTCCACCCTTTCCCATGTGATAGATAGGTGACAAAAACCTGATTGGGTGACAGGTACAGGGAGGGTTCATCAGATGAAAACAGCCCGCCAACAAGCCCATAAAGACCCCTAGACCCAGAAACTCCGTGCCAGCCCCTTCGGGTCCCCTTCCTCCTCGGGAGCTTTGTGTTATCACTTTGCTATCGCCCCATACACCTTGCTTTGCTGCCCACCCCTCTGTCCGGTCTACCTCTTCATTCTTCGAAGCGGCCTGACCAAGAACCGCGGGCACTTAGTGGAGAGGAAATCCTGTAACATTATCAGGGTCTCACTGACGCAGGTTATGGATCTGGTGTCAACAAGGGGATTTCCCTGTGGGGGTCCTCTCCCCAGACTCCTCACCCACCTCTTCTACCTTCCATGCCCAGCAGCTCATGACCGACAATGACCCATGACGTGAGGTGTCACCACGCCCCCACCCACCACGTGGTACCCCTCCTCTGCGCTCAATCCCCCAGCAACTTGGGGCCTTCCGGGCCCCACCTTCTGCTCCAGCTGCAGTCCCACCTTCCTGTTTCCAGGCCTTTAACTCGGAAAACTTCTGACTCATCTTAGCCACAGTGGCCTAAGACCACACCTCCACCCCAATCTTGTATTTGTGCTTCTGTGTGACACTGTGCCCCAGGAAAGGCCGACTCTCTGAGCCTTCATCTCCTTAGCTGAAAATGGGGCTGAGTGACCTGTGTGCCCTGTGGATGCTCTGAGGTATATTTGTCAAAGGGCTTTGTGAAGTGGTCAAGTGCTAAATAAAGGTAGAACTTAAGTTACCTTGAAGCTGAACGGTGCTAAAGCAAAACCAGAGAAACTTGGACCTGTGGGGGGGGGCAGGAGGGGGGGTACCGGGGAGGGAAGAGAGGGAGAGAGGTGGAGAGATGTTTTGGCAGAGGTAGGGATGATATCAAGTAGCTCTAGAATCGGTTGGTATGTTCAACACATAGGACCCTTTGTAAACACATCCATGCCTGTGTGAAAAATATGACTCACTCCTGAAACCACAGAATTTTACATTTTTCCCAACAGACTCCAACTTTTAACTAATGTCCTGTTTGGTCCTTGTCAGGCGGCCCCGGATCCACAGAAGAGACCAATCTCCAACCAGTTGAGACAACGAAGCCTGGCCGAGCCTCCCTTTAAATGAATGCAGACATGCCCAGCTGAGCCTGGTCAGTCCTTCGTTCACATTCTCTCCAGTCCCCAGGGCCCACCCTTCCAACTCAGGCCTGGTCCATCGTCGAGTTATTCTCTGGCCCACCCTCCAAGACAGGAGCCCTTCCAGGGGACGTCAGCAGCCACAAAGCAAAGGCTCGCTTTCTCCCCCCATCCCAGTGGCTGGGGACAGATGCAGGAGCGTGGCTGCGTTGAGTTTGAATCCAGGCTTGCTGTCTCCTGAGCTCTTGCCCGGGTCACTTCTCTGCGCCTTATTTCCTGGCCCGTAAAATGGGCACGTACACCTACCGCATGGCTCTGTTGCAAGATCAAAGGAGCTCATTTGTGGAGCATGAGCATAAAGCAGACTGCGGACAGTTTGCACGATCCTCACCACTGCCCCCAACCCACCCCCAACCCATCACTCTCCTCTGGCTTCTGACTCCTTCCCGGTTCTAGGATCCTTCCCGCAAGACTCCTCCCCATCCGCATTCAGACCGGTTAACTGTCACCTGCTCCAAGAAGCCCATCCTGACCACCTCATCTTAACTAGCAGGCCCCTCCCCCACCTCCTCACCTTTTTTTTTTCTTTCCCTTCTGGACCACCCCAATCCTCACCGTGACCCTCGCACCATCGTCCGTTCTCCCTACCCCCAATCCTCCCAGACTGCCCCCACACAGCACACGCTAGGCTGTCCTGTGCATCTCAAAGGCTTTATTGTAAAAATGTTAAAATAAATTACATTTGACATCATTGCCAGTATGTACATACAGTGTGTGAGTCCAGGACGGCCAGCGATACGCCAGCAAGGTGGGGCAAGGAAACTAGGATGAAAACATTCACAGAAAAACAGCAGGCCGCTCCTTCTCACCCAGCTGCCCGGCCAGCATAGCCCTGGGTCACAGGATGAATGCAGGTGTGGACACACACGCCCATCACTGTCTTCACATGTCGGGGGGTGGGGGAGGGGGGGTGGGGTCCGGCCCCACAGTCCTGGGGAGGGGGCTGAGAGGCAGAGAGGGTGATCACTCGCCTCCTGGCCAGCGTCAGTCGCCTGTGAGGGATGCCTCGCCCCAACCGTGCGCACTCGCTTCTCGGTGCCTTCACCCCCACTCTGCGTGGGGGCTCTCGACAGCGTGACTCTGGCTGAGCTCACCAAGAAAGGCCCAGCAGAGCTGGGGGTAGGAGGGCGAACATGTAACAACCCAATCCTTGGGGGCCTGCTCTTTCGCCTCCTCTCCCCTCTGGCTCTGAAGCCAACAATGGATGCCAGGTATATCAAAACAGCAGTTTATTTAAAAAATAACAAAACATACAGGGCAGAGAGGGCTGGCCCTAAGGGTGCGTATCGCGGAGACCCCGAGAACTCTGCCGGCCCCTCACCAGAAACAGTCTGTATACAGTTTCACATTATCATTTGCTCCCCGTGTCCCCAGTCTTTTCTTAAACACACATGCGCACCTGCGGACACAAATGCCAAACCGTGGCTGCAGCAGGGGAGCATTCACATCTTTGGCCCATCCCACGTGTAAGCCAAGAGCGACTCGGCCTCCCCCACCATGGGGGCCACGAGGGCCAGGGAGCCATGAGGTCCTTGTTTGGGGCACAGGGGAGGCTGGGGACAGAAGGAACCAGAGCTGAGCTTCCTCCTGCAGCTCCCTGGCTACCGCTACCCTCTCTTCCCGCAGCTTTCCCAGGGAGGGAGAAAGCCTGCCTCTGCCATCACCTGGCCAAAGGGTGAGTCAGGGAACTGGGCTCCGGGTGGCTTGGTCTGAGCAAAACCAGAAGGCCTAGGACCCTGGGCCAACTCAGAGCTTGCTCGGGTCCTGTGTATTAGGATAGGAGTGTTTCAGCATCAGCCCAGGATCTCCCCTTTCCCTTCCCCTGGGCGCCTCTTCCCTACTGGGCTTTGCAGTAGGGCCTGATAGGCAGACAAGGTGGGGTTGGGGGATGCTTATACATGCACCCCACACAGCACCCTGCTATTTGCTGAGGAGCTGAAGTGCTCAGTGCCCCCACACCATTGCTGTACCTCCTGCAAAGGCAGGACCCAGGGCTCACAGTGCCCTCCCTCCTCTCTGAAATAGCTAGCTCCGTGCTGGGCACACAGGAGCTCATTAATACTGGTGAACTCAAACGGCCAGGGCCCCAAGCCTAAGAGAACCGTGTGAAATGCTCAACCGAAGTACGTCCGAAGACCCATGCAGGTGCAGGCCTCCCGGAGGGTCACCTGCCAGCCCATACATGTCTCTGAACCATCAAATACACCAGCCATACTCAGGCCAGACGCCTCCCACTGCCAGGGTGCCCATTCAGCCAGAGAACCGAGGCCCTGTCCTGGGCGCACGCTGAGTTTGACCCGTAGCATCTAGCCGGAGGGGATGGAAGGTGAGGAAGGCCCCTGGCCCCCCACTCCCAGTTCCAGGGCTGCCCCCCACCAGGGGCCAGAGGTCCCAGCTGTAGTAGGATGCCCCAGGATGAGGGGAACAGAAGCCATCGGAGGTGGGGTGGGGAGCCGGCCCTGCCTCACGTGCCTCTGGGGCAGTCGGACTGACTGTACTCGTTCATAAGCTGTTCGTAAGGCACAGAGAGCTCAGACTCAGTGCTGGTGAAGGTGGACTCGTCCGACGAGGGGAACTCGCCCAGGTTCAGGGGCACCTCAGCTTCGGCCCCCTCCTGGGGCCTTTCCTCCCCAGCCAGGTTGTCCTCTATGGAGGACTTGGATGTCTCTTCGTCCGAGAGGCCGGCCTCCTCGTCCGCAAAGGTGATGCTGACGTTCTGGAAGATGAGCGGGTGGTAGTCCTGGGCGTCCCATGGCTCACCCTCCTCGCTGATTCGGTCCAGCTGGTTAATGAACACCTCGGAGGTCGGGGAGCCTTCCTTGGGGGGCCCTGCCCCGGCCTCGTCGCTGGGGGGCCGCGACACATGGCCTTTGCTCTTCAGCGTCTGAGACACCTCTTCCAAGCTGGGCACCCGGTTCTTGGAGTAAACCACCAGGGGGGACAGGGAAGTGGGGTGGGCTGGCAGCCCACCCCCCTGAGGCCCCAGCCCCTGTGCTGGGACCCTCTCCCCAGCCCCACTCGTCTTCATTGCCTTCTTCCCGATCTGCTTGATGAGGTCATTGTAGGTCTCCTCCTTCTTGGACAGAAAGCTGAAGATGTTGACGTCCTTGGACGCCGTACTCCCAGTCATCTGCAGAGCCTTTTTGGAGTGTGGGGAGCTCTCAAAGGACTCCTTCCGCCGCCGCCGCCGCTTCTTGATGGCCTTGTGGACCTCCACGAACATGCTCACCTTCCAGTTGACAAAGAGGGAAAGCCAGGCCAGCCCCAGGTAGATCCAGAGCTCCACAAAGTAGCGGTACAAGGCGTGGTAGTTGGCGCTGGGGTTCACACCTGCAGACGGGACAGGAAGCCCCGAAGGTCAGAAGAAGGTCAACAGGGACCTGGATGTACATCAAGGCCAAAGCCGGGTTCTCTGAGCGCAGGCACAGTGTCAGAACACAGAATGGGATGCACGGTGAAAGAAAGGACTAGAAACCAGACTGTTCCATCATCCTGACGGTCCAGTCATTCATGTCCCTATCTTAGTCCCCAACCTGCCTGAGCCTCAGTGTCCTCAACTGTCAGAAGTCAGGAGAGTGGTTCCCTAGGGTAAGGTAGGTTCCAGGTCCAAGGCAATGGGGAGGCTGTTAATGCAGCCAACACACAGGTCAGGAAATAGTTCATGCATGTTTGCCTTTCGATTATTCACTGTACCACATCTAGCTGTTTTGTGCACTTTGGGGGGCATATATGTTATAGTTCAGTTAAAACCAGGATGGAAATTAAGTGAGTGGCTGGCATCTTCACTGCTGGGTTTGGACTCACTGCTTTAATATGAATGGGGCTGGTGGTTGGGCCAAGAGGTCTGTGTGCACTGGTCCCAGCAGAAACTATTCTGGAAAGCCTTGATCCTCCTTCACTGGGGTCTGGCTGCCCCCTGACTTCCTGTTTCTGTCCTCTTCAGGCTGGCCCTTCCCGTGGTCTAGAGGGCTCTGCCACTCCACATCCTCCTCCTCTGAGGCCAGGCTCCCAACACCTGCTCCAGGGAGTCCTCCGGGTCACCCTGCACAGCTCTGACTGATCTCCTACACTCCAGCATTATGAGATTTCTAGCTTAACTTTACGTTTCTAGGCACACTGATCTGCGTTATTATATATCCTGCCCCCACCCCACCTTTCAAATGCGAGCAGTCTGGAAAAGGGACTAGGGGAAGGGGGCTTCCTCCAGAGTGGGGCTCCCACAGGGCAGGGACTATACCACCCTCATAAAATTAGAGGTCCCCTGAAGACAGGTGCTGTGTTTGCCCCTGGAGACAAGAGGTGTCTCTAAGGGATGCTCGGGGCTCTTGGTCACAGGCAGGGTGTGATGACAAGCAGGGCGCATGCTAACATAGCTGGGTCCTATCCTCAGCACTCATTTGATCTTCTACCACCCTGTTAGGTAGGAGCTGTTCTTTTTAAACCAATCTTAGAGATGAGGAAACTGAGGGAGAGGTCTGAGGTCTTGCTGGAGCTGAGAAAGTATGGCTAAATATACCCCACTTCTCCAGTACAAAGGCTTCTCCTTGTTCGCTCAGGGTCCCTTAGACAATGGCAGGGCTGTGCCTCTGTCTAACTTTATCTCCCAAGACAGCAGGCCTTGATCTGCCGAGGTCAGGAGAGTGTTCGGGCCTCTTTCCTGTCCCCTGCCACCACCACTCAGCCGCCCCTCCTCGCATTTGGAGTCTCCCCTTACAATGAGGCAGAAGGTTAGTGACCTGCACCTGCCCCTGGGTGGGGGTGGGGTGTGTGTGGGGGAGACTAGAGTCCCCTGGAGCCAAGGTTGGGGTCGGCTGGGCAGGAGGCATTGAGGGAACACTGGGTCAATGCAGCCAAACAGGAGTCAAGACAATGAAGGGCCAAGATGCAGGGCAGGCCACAGGCACAAGTCTCGGAGAGGCTGGGGCCAAAGAATTTTATCACCTGCCTGGATTAAGTAGGGGGAGAGTGGGAGGGACTGTCCCGGCCCCCAGAGGGTGGGGCAGCTTAGGAGAAGGCCTCTCTTGTCTCTAAACTGCCTGTGGCAAGAGTAAAGTTTCAGGCCTGTGAGCCAAACCTCTAGACCAGCTCCCTCCGCTCCTGTGATGGGATGTAAGGCCGGCAGCTCTGGGACAGGAAGGGGGCCCCTGACTTGGCTCCGGGGCTTTCTGGGTAACAGGCTCAAACCCTGCAGGGGGTGGGGAAGGACCTACCCCCAGCCCCTAGTGAACCTAGGCCTAGGAGACAGGGGAGAACAGAGGGAGAGGAAGCAGGAAAAGCTATGACCCAAGAAAGAAAGGGAAACAGAAGAAGACCCCTTGGTGGTGGGGGGAGGGTTGCTGCCCAGGACACTGAGCACCTGCTGGGGTCTCATTAAGGTCAGCTGAATTGCAGGTGGAGAAGCAGAGAAAGAGAAGGCGGAGAGGTTGAGGCACGGGGAGAAGGGCAGGACTCACCAGCCACAAAGTCGCCGAAGCCGATGGTGGAGATGGTGATGAAGGAGTAGTAGAGGCCCTCGATGTAGTCCCACTCCTCGGTCACCATGAACACGAAGGGCGGGATCACCAGGTGGACCAGGACGCCCCATACAATGAAGATGGCCGTGCACGTGATCTGCGCCTGCCGCTGATGGGGTGGGGGTG